CAGCCTGGCTCCGGTCCACCACCATCTGTACATCTAACCTCAAACCTATGTCGCGCCGCACACTATTTTTCATTTTTGTCACGGGTTTCTACGCGCTGCATCCAACTCCCTTCCAAAGCCCGTATCGCTGAATTACTTTCTTATCATGTCCTGTAGTGAATTACGGTGGGAGTGAATGGCAGTATGTCTCTATATGTTGGGTATGTGACTGTCAATACTAAATGAATTCAAGAACAAATCAATGGACAGATCTGTTCTCCCACAATCTCTGCTCCTCCTCCATCCGTCCATCAAAGCGGTGCTACAAAACGGGTTTATATCGACTTCGGTATTTTCAGCGGAGTGCGTTGGTGACAGCAGCTGTGTTAAACAAATAATTGTGTTTTGCATCATCTGGGGGAATGTGTGTCTCTTTCTGAGGAAAAGTCTGTAGAGGAGATGTTTGTGAAATCCCTCAGTTGTCCAGGTGGGATCCATAGCGAAAGAGAAATTCAATTCTGTCAACTGGACAAAAGCTGCTCGTTCAGTTCTGGTCAGATGCTCTTGGACGCGGTCTTATATCTGCCTGCAGGGAGGAGCTAACTACACTGAAACTACTCTGAAACTAACCCACACACTTGTTTCTGTTTGTAAATAGGAGAGAGATGATGTCTGGGGCCTTCATCTGTTCAAAAATGAATTGTATTTCTTAACAAAAATAGTCTCTTTAACTCCCTTCTCCATTTTTCTCTGGTTAAGATCAACCCTCTCTACCTCAAAGACTTGGTTAGTGGTTTTGAGATAGAGATGTACAGAGACTGGGGTCCTGTGCTGTTCTCTCGTCTGTGTTGGTACATCTTCTTATGAAGTTGCTGTTTCATTTTTCCAATACGCTCACTGCATTTCTGAATTGATAGTCAGAATTGAATTTCTCCTTTGCTCTACAGTGCATGGTTTCTTAATTACATTTACGGTTCTGAATTCTGAATTAACAAATTGTGTATTTTTATTTTTTAAATTTTTTTTATCTTTAAAATGTATATATTTTTATTTAAATTTAAATTTTTTATTTATTTTTTATTTCATATGTTTTTACTTTCTTATTATTTGTTGTATTAATTTATTATTATTATTAGTAATAGTAGTAGTAGTAGTAATAGTAATAGTAATAGTAGTAGTAGTAGTAGTAATAGTAATAGTAATAGTAATAGTAGTAGTATGGTAGTAGTAGTAGCAGTAGTAGTAGTATAGTAGTAGTAATAGTAATAGAGTAGTAGTAGTAGTAGTAGTAGTAGTAGCAGTAGTATAGTAGTAGTAGTAGTAGTAGTAGTAGTAGTAGTAGTAGTAGTAGTAGTAGTAGTAGTAGTAGTAGTAGTAGTAGTAGTAGTAGTAGTAGTAGTAGTAGTAGTAGTAGTAGTAGTAGTAGTAGTAGTAGTAGTAGTAGTAGTAGTAGTAGTAGTAGTAGTAGTAGTAGTAGTAGTAGTAGTAGTAGTAGTAGTAGTAGTAGTAGTAGTAGTAGTAGTAGTAGTAGTAGTAGTAGTAGTAGTAGTCAGTAGTAGTAGTAGTAGTAGTAGTAGTAGTAGTAGTAGTAGTAGTAGTAGTAGTAGTAGTAGTAGTAGTAGTAGTAGTAGTAGTAGTAGTAGTAGTAGTAGTAGTAGTAGTAGTAGTAGTAGTAGTAGTAGTAGTAGTAGTAGTAGTAGTAGTAGTAGTAGTAGTAGTAGTAGTAGTAGTAGTAGTAGTAGTAGTACAGTAGTAGTAGTAGTAGTAGTAGTAGTAGTACAGTAGTAGTAGTAGTAGTAGTAGTAGTAGTAGTAGTAGTAGTAGTAGTAGTAGTAGTAGTAGTAGTAGTAGTAGTAGTAGTAGTAGTAGTAGTAGTAGTAGTAGTAGTAGTAGTAGTAGTTTAGTAGTAGTAGTAGTAGTAGTAGTAGTAGTAGTAGTAGTAGTAGTAGTAGTAGTAGTAGTAGTAGTAGTAGTAGTAGTAGTAGTAGAATCAAGTATGCTGACTTCCTCGTTAGAAATCTGTGGTGCCTAATGGGAGCTATCGTCCCCATAAACATCATCACAACAAAAGGCTGTGAAGTTGTATGTACCCTTGACGCAGCAAGAACTCATATAAATATCATAAAATACTAAATAATAGCGTAGGGTGTTTCTTTGTTTCAGCCAGACCTTCTTTGTAACAGACCAGGCCTTTATTTGAGACCAGGCAGCAATTTATGGCAGACGATTAATTCCTTCCTTATAAAAATCTTGCTCAGCACAGTCAGAACACAGAAGTTCAGCACGGCCGGGCCTGGTTAGTACTTGGATGGAAGACCACTGAGAAAATTAGGTTCCAGAGGGGGGCACTTGTCACAAAAACTGTCGTTGTGTCCTTAGGCAAGACACTTCACCCACATTGCCTAGTATGAAAGTGGTGTGTGCGTGAGTGATGGTGGTGGTCGAAGGGGCCACCACCGGGTATGGAGTGACTGAATAATGTTCTGTAAAGTCTTGTTGTGATATATGTCTTTGAAAAGCGCTATATAAATAAAAATTTTACTTACTTCTTCTTTTCTTCTTCTTTTTCTTCTCTTTTTTATGTTAATGCAGAATATATATTCATTGCAATAGACTTTTATCTAGCTTTTCATAGGTTTCAGCTGACTTTAACATTAAAAAAATGTAATATTTAGATTTTAATTATGAATCACTATGGCAACGGTCCTAATTATTCCTCCTTCTGAAACTGCGTCACAGTTTTTGTCCAAAGACACAAAAACAGGAGACCTCCTCTGCACAGGTCATGAGGAGCAGGTGTGGTATTTTTAACCAGAACACAGCTCACATCAGGGGCTCTCTCCGATCGATGAAACAGCAGAGTAACAAGAAATAAGGAAAGCAACAGGCAGAACATGCAAGAGCTTCATCTGTGCAACTGTATTATCATTTCAAAACCACTGGCATCATGTGGGGAGTTTCTCTGTGTGGAGTTTGTATAATATTCTTCAGATATGATGGACTTTATTGGCTGGTTTTCCTGATCAGCACATTTTAACATGTCATATTCCTTTAAGTTTTGCATATAACACATTTTAAAGTAAGTTTTAAATCTATACAAAAAGGCAAAAGCTTCAGCAGAAAAAAAAATAGCAGAGGAGAAATTAAATTCTGGCAACTGGACAAACATTTTTTGATAGATTCATTTTGCAACTTGTCCAAGATGTGTGAAGAATCCCTCAGTCGTCCAGGTAGAATCCATGAGGAGAAAAATTCAGTTTGTGGAGTGGACAAAAGTTAGTTTGGTCGAAGACGTTTCGTAGCTCATCCAATCTGCTTTTTCAGTTCTGGTCAGAATGCTGGTGGACACTTCCTTATATCTGGAAGGAAGTTAAGGAAGGACGTGTCCACCAGCATTCTGACCAGAACTGAAGAAGCAGATTGGATGAGCTACGAAACGTCTTCAACTAAACTAACTTTTGTCCAGTCCACAAACTGAATTTTTCTCCTCAACTTGTCCAAGCTGCTTCTTCACTTCTGGTCAGATCTGCTTGAAGGGAAGAACTACCTACACTGAAACACACCTACTTGTTTACAGAGTGTTTTTCTTAGCAAGGCCTATTGAGCTGCACTAAGTGGGGACTGAGTCATATTGGCATAATCATTCAGTCCCCTGGGTGCTTTCACACCTCTGAACTCGAACAGGCTATCACTATTGTTTTCTTTGTTTTGATTTAGGTCTGAGGATGGAGCTGTAAATAGAAGAGAGATGATGTCTGAGCCTCCATTTCTGTTCAAAGATGGATTGTGTTTCCTAACAAAAATTGTTTAACTCCCCTCTCCATTCCTTTTCTCTGGCTAAGATCTGTTCCTCACTGTCCTCAAAGGAGTGGTTAGTGGCTTTGAGATGGAGATGAACGGCAGACTGAGGTCCATCATTGCTCTCTCGTCTGTGTTTGTACATCCTCATGTGAAGTGGCTGTTTTGTTTCTCCCGTGTAACACTCACTGCGGTCTTCACTACACTGAATGGAGTAGAACACATTGCTTTGTGGACTGCGAGTACTTCAGTCTGCCGTACAGAGAAAAGTTGCTATGGATTGATATCTGGAGGACTGAGAGAAAAAAAAAAAAGTATAGTAAAAGGTAAGACATATGTTAAAAAGATGAATTTAATCTTTAAAGGCCCATGTAACTGAGCAAAATGTGTCTTGTTCCAGTAGATATATAGCATAAGTGGATCTTGAGGTAAAAAAACAACAACAAAAAACTAAAAAGTCAACATGCATCTAATTAATGTCCAACAATCATTTCATAATTGCATCAGTGCATGGTTAACATGGTTGTTGTTGTTGGCACGACTAAGATGAGAAAATTCAGCTGTGGTCCTGATAAACTCATCTAACCTTGGACTCAGACAAACTTTATTGATCCACAAGGGAAATTATTTGGGCACAGCAACTCACACATCATAATATAATAGAATAACAAAGAGAGAAAATAGAAATAGTAATAATACATTCTAAATAAGTAGCAAAAAGAGACTGGTGTCAATGTAAATGCACAAGTCAAAATAAAATTGACAGATAAGTAATAAAATATAAAATCACAGCTATGTACAAGAGGTCACAGGAAAACACTGCAACAATGATATGATGATTGACAGGACATAGGCTTATCTGTTCCATAAGGATGAGTTGTTGTACAGTTGTAGGGAGTATTATCTGTTACATAAGAGTGAGTTGTTGTACAGTTGTAGGGAGTATTATCTGTTCCATAAGGATGAGTTGTTGTACAGTTGTAGGGAGTATTATCTGTTACATAAGAGTGAGTTGTTGTATAGTTGTAGGGAGTATTATCTGTTACATAAGAGTGAGTTGTTGTACAGTTGTAGGGAGTATTATCTGTTACATAAGAGTAAGTTGTTGTACAGTTGTAGGGAGTATTATCCTCTTTCTGTCTTTAGCTTCAGTCTGAGGCAGAGGTTTTGAGGCAGAGGTGCAGTGACGCTGGCTCCTCTTCAGTCTGACTGGTGAAGATCCAGTCTGTCAGTGTCCAGCTCTGGGCTTCCCCTTTCTCACAGCATCTGAAATGACACCAGTGTATGTTAAACACCCCATTACACCTTTTATTCTTGTAAGGAGTTAGAGTTCAGGTTTGTGAAGAACATTGTAAGTCCTGACAGTGGCTGTGTGATGTGAACATGAAAGGTGAATACTTGATTGGAGAGATCTATGCACTTACAGAGGGTCAGTCTTTAAACTCCACCACAGCATGTTCTGAAAGAAACAATATGCACAACAACAGGTGTGATTATAATGTGCATATGTTTAGTTATGAAAGTTAATAAAAGTAGGATAATACAGTAAACTTACAGAGGGTCTGTCTCTACATTTTTGGAACTTGGCCCAGCAGAGGGAATTCTGTAAAACATCAAATAAGAGAAACACAAATACAAGTGCAGTATTTACCTCCAGAGGGTCTTTATCATGCTGTTATGTCCATCTTCTTATTAACTATTGTATATTCTGAAACAGAGATGAAAAACATTATTTAACTCATAGGAAATACTTTAGCGCAGTAAAACTGAACTCTTTTGTTTTAGTATAAGCCTGAGTATGAGATTGAGACATATTTCACTGCTGTTAATATAGAATACTCTACTACATTTACTGTTACCACAACATTTAAAATATAATAATCAATTTATGATGGTGTTCATAGTCAATATCAGTGTAATATAGATGTGACACATTAGTGTTCATGTCAACATCTCTCACTGAAAGTCTGAAGCACCGTCTCAAGTCCCATAACAGAAAGTTAGAGACAAAGTCAGATCTGGCTCCAAACTAAATCCTCAGTCACAGAAATCATTAAAAGTACTAACTTCTGATCAGCGTGCCGGGCTCCTGATGGAGACACTCAGCAGAAGGACAGGGGCTCCTGATGTCATCTGGGGAAAAACAACATAAGTTTAGGTTGGTTATCTAACATTAGCTGTTGTTAAAAGTTGTGCTTTTTATTATGTTACGTTATTGTATTATGGCACGTTGCGTTAAATGATCGTATTAAGGCACTGACATGACTGCACTTTAGTCTCAACTCAACAGTCAACACTCTAATCTACACAAATAATAATTATCTCTGGTTAAAAACAAAACCAGATCAGACACCGGTGTCACCGTCGCTCCACAGCCAAAGGGAGAGCGCCGAGAGCGGCATCCAGCCAGAACCGAGCCCGTTAGACACGACCAATGATCACGGAGCAGAATTACAACTCTGTGATCGTAAAAATATACAAGAATATAAGTAGCGTTATATAAAAATAGTATTTAGACTGGGATCTACCTCAAGAGACGGAGTTATTCCAGACTCCTGACATCACATCGTCTTCATCACGTCAGCTGCTACTGTCGCTAACTATTACTTACAGTTAAATCCATGGACAATAGGTGGGTGCTGTTTCTTTCCACTCATGTCCCGATAACGGCTGATGACTCAGTGGCGCGTCCGCGCAGCGAATCCAAACCGGTTTAGCCGCGGATCCGCGCATTGATAGTACAACTCAGTGTGTCAAAAACAAAGTGTTGTGTTAAAAGTACATTCACAGTGCGGATCTAAGATGATTTAACCGTAGATTCTCTCTGTAACAGCAGGCCATCCGAGGGTTAGGGTTAGCAACAGTCAGAAAGCGAATACGGAACAAATACGCAGCGGATCCGCAAAGCGGACGGACTCTGGGGCGGATTTGGGCGGACCGAAAGCGGATCCGCTGCAGATCCTGATGCTAGTAGGGATATTATTCATAATATATATTTATAATTTTGCCCTTGGTGCCCCTCCCAAAAATTATACCACCAGCCGCCACTGGTCCTGGTTTAGTCCCGGTCCCTCAAGTCTCAGGTCTCTATAGGACAGGACTGGACGGCGTTACCCTCGTGTACCACGTTCACTACAGACCTGGTGCTGTCCGATGTGTGACTATTTCTTGCCCGGTTGCTTCTTTCAGTGATGTTGTTCAGGGGTGTTTTTGACGAGAGGCTGTTGTTTAATGTTTACAACCAGTGTCAGGCCTTATTGTTTTTAATAAACCTCAACCTTTTATTATTGTCTTGTGTGCGTATCGTCTACCACACAGCCTCAACAACTATTGCAGCTAATAATAATAATTTTAATATAATAATGATAATAATAACAACAACACATAATTAGCCTAATACTGTTAAAGAAAAACATGATAGCATGTCTGCTGTGTATGACTCCACCGTAGGGGTGGGCGATATATCGATATTTTAATTATATCGAGATAATTTTAAACTCGATATGAATTCTGACATATCGTATATATCGATATAATGCTTATATTCAATTCTGATTTCGCCGCTTCGCTTGTTTACCTTCTGTCTCGTCGCCTCCGCCTCCCTGATTTTGTTCGCTCGTGTCTCCTTCACTCCTCATTATCACCGTGAACGAAGAAAGTTGGTGCCAGTGAAAAGCTTCAATCACCACGAACCTTTTCCACCATTTACAGACAAAACCATCAGCAGCACATCCTCATATTCCACTGAGTCGCGTCCTTTTGCCCGAAAGAAGCTAAACGAGCTGAGCTGCACGAGAAGTGCTGTTTATGCAAATGAGCCACGCACTTAAGTTTCGTTTCTGTAAAATGTAAACACACGTGCGCAAAACTGCATTAAACACATTATTATCTCAAACGGGCTGATGTGACTCGTAGTCGTTATATTGTAAAGTTTAGCAATGTAAAGTTTATTTATGCAGAATATTTTAATGAATAATCTGCTGCAGTGTCACTTGTACAATAGTGTTTGGAAACGTTTGGTTTGGTCTGCAGTGGATTGTGGGATTAAACCTCAGAGCTCCTTACTGCTGGGTAATAACATGGATCTGTTAAAATAAGGAGCATCCTGAGCTTCTTCTGCTAAAGGAGCTTATGGTTCTGGTTCTGGTTTGGATAACAGAGTTAATGCAAAGATGAGCTTGTGTTGAGCTGTTTTATTTATGAATGAAAAGAAGGAAATATGTATTATTTCTTTTATTTTACAGTTAAATTATTATTTATGTAATTAGGGTTTTTTGTAATCTTAAATGTTCCTATATGAACTGCCGACCTCTTACACTTCAATTAAAAAAAAGGACCTTGTGGAATTTGGCAGATTTGTTTTTGCAGTTTTCAGTTTTAGGGGGTTATTTTTTCTTGAACATATATCGAGATATATATCGTATATCGAGATATAGCAAAATATATCAAGATATATTTTTTGATCCATATCGCCCAGCCCTACTCCACCGTGTTAAAATATTTCTCAAATGGCAGTGCCCCCCCTGCTGGTGACCCACGCCCCTCCAGTAGATGTGCTCTGACGCCGACTCTGCCGGAGCGGAGGAGGAGGAAGTGACACGGTGACCCCGCAACTTAAAGGAAGTGGGGGAGATCGATCGGTAAAGCGGAATTGACCCGCAACAATAAAAGTGCCTCAAATGCGGGTTACAATTATCTGTTACATAATGATGAGTTCTTGTACAGTTGTAGGGAGTATTATCTGTTACATAAAAGTGAGTTGTTGTACAGCTGTAGGGATTATTATCTCTTCCATAAAGGTGAGTTGTTGTACAGTTGTAGGGAGTATTATCTGTTTCATCAGGATGAGTTGTTGTACAGTTGTAGGGAGTATTACCTGTTACATAAGGGTAAGCTGATGTAAGGTTGTAGGGAGTATTATATGTTACATAATGGTGAGTTTTTGTACAGTTGTAGGGAGTATTACCTGTTACATGAGGGTGGAGTTGTTGTACACTTGTAGGGAGTATTATCTGTTTCATCAGGATGAGTTGTTGTACAGTTGTAGGGAGTATTATGTGTTATATAAAGGTGTTGTTGTACAGTTGAAGGGAGTATTATCTGTTACATAAGGATGAGTTGTACAGTTGTAGGGAGTATTATCTGTTATATAAAGGTGTTGTTGTACAGTTGTTGGAAGTATTATCTGTCATAGACAAAGGTGTTGTACAGTTGTAGGAAGTATTATCTGTTATACAAAAAGGTGTTGTACAGTTGTAGGGAGTATTATCTGTTGTTGTACAGTTGAAGTAAGAGCATCTCTATGAAACAAAGCCAAGTGCTCACAGGGTTTAAGCTCCAGGTTAAATCAAATCTGACATGTGTATGAAGTGTGTGGTGCAGACCTCCACCTGTGTATCTGATGAGAGCAGTGGGTCTCCGTGCCTCTTCAGCACAGCCCTGCCCTGTATACACACACACACACACAGACACGTACACACACACGCGTAAACACACTCTCCCTCTGAAGTGAATTAAACTGGCTCTGCTCCAGCCATCTCCACATGTGCGTGTCAGGATGTCCATGAGATAAGTGCTTTTGGAGAGACTTGCACTGAGATGGAGCTTCTTTATTCACTGAGACCAGACTGAAAAGTGCACCATATTTCAAAACTGACCACAGTAAGAACATCGGCAAGTCAAATGGCTTCACAAGCAATAATTAAAGATGCACTGTGCAACTTTTCTGGTGGAGGGTCGGATACTTTTTCTATGAAGATGTTTATGTTTTGTGTACAGCATCAACACAACTGTGAGATGCCACGTAGTATTGTAGTTTTGTAGTATTGTAGTATTGTAGTATTATAGTATTATAGTATTGTAGTATTGTAGTATTGTAGTATTGTAGTTAGTGCTGTGAAGCGATAAAAAAAAAAAAAAAAATGAGATTAATTAATTATGATCTGTAATTAATTAATCTAATCTCTTTTTTAATCTCACCTAAAAATTGCTGAGAAAAGCTTCATCTTGAGGTATTTTCATTTGAATTCATTATTACTTTATTTTCATACTATCATTAACGTTTTTATATAAGTATCATCATTATTATTACTATGACTAATCTGCATAAATAAACTTAATTTTACAACATATAAACATCACCACTCTAGAGCCGCATCAGCCCGTTTGACATTATCATGTGTTTAATGCAGATTTGCGCAAGTCTCACAGAAACTTAAAACCACATGGCTCATTTGCATAAACTAAGCGGAGAAAAGAATATGTGCTCTGATGAGGTTTAGCTTCTGTTGGAGTAAAGGACATGACTCAGTGGAATATGAGTGTTCTCTCTGTGACAGAGGGATGTTGATGCTGAAAGTGAATCTGTGTCTGTGTCTGTGTCGCGATGTATTCAGAGATCAGACGTGTGCAGGTTTATCACAGATGCGGCGAGAACGGGAATGAAAATTACAATTGTAATTGTAGCGAGTGGAGCAGGACTGCGCCGTGCGGGACTGTGTCCTAACAACACATAAAAACAGATGTGCTTTTATGTATAATTTTAATTTCCGGTAATTCCACTCATTCCCAGAAATTAAACCAGGTCTAAACTAGATCTCAACCAGGTCTAAACCAGATCTAAAACCAGGACTAAACCAGGACTAAACTAGAAAAGCACTCAGAGAGCGCAGACCTCCGCCAAGGACTACCCCCATTTTTTATATAAACTGAGATAAAATCAGTCTTCTGGATCAGATCCGGATCAGCCTTTGGAATATGAAAGAGGATCCCATTGTCCATCCCTGAGTCAAATTTCATGGGGTTTGGTCAATAATTAACCGAGATATTGAGAAACAAAATTTTTGGCCCCATTTACCACAATGTGAACTAAAATGTCAAAGTGATCCAAAATCCAGGATTTCTTCCGGATCACCCCCAAAATGGAATCAGTTCTTCCTTTTCACATTTCCAACAAATCCTGAAAATTTCATCAAAATCGGTCCATAACTTTTTGAGTTATGTTGCTAACAGACAAACAAACAGACAAACGCCGGCAAAAACATAACCTCCTTGGCGGAGGTAACCAGGACTAAAACAGGACTAAAAGCAGATCTAAACTAGATCTAAACCAGGTCTAAACCAGGTCTAAAATCACGACTAAACCACGACTAAACCACGACTAAACCACGACT